CCTCAATTGCCTGGCTACACAGCATGCTTGTAAAGGGCATCAGTAACTCAAATGTAAAACATGTCCCAAACTTCAAGGCCTCCACCATTCTTAGATTCTTCACGGTCTCTCTCACTGTTCCAATACCAACTGCCCGTAGGCTGAATAGTGTCTATGTGTGTGTGAGTGTAAGCACGTGTCCCACTCCCAAAATTTATCTGTTGAAACCTAACCCACAGGGTGATGTTTTGGGATGTGGGGCTTTCAAAAGGTGACTAGGTCGTGAGGGTGAAACCCATATGAATGGGATCAGTGCCCTTACAAAAAGTAAAAGCGTTAGTTGCTCAGTCATGTCTGACTCTTTGTGTCCCCATGGACTGTAGCCTGCCAGGCTCCTCTGTCCATGGAATTCTCCAAGCAAGAATACTTGAGTTGGTTGCCATTCCGTTCTCTAGGCAGGGATAGAACCCAGGTCTCCTGCATTGCAGGCAGATTCTTCACCACTGAGCCCCCAGGGAAGTCCTTACAAATCAGCCCAAGAAAACTCCTTTGCCTCTTCCACCTTGTGAGGACACAATGAGAAGCTGGCAACCAGAAAAAGGGTTCTTGCCAGAGCCTGACCATGCTGACACCTGATCTCAGACTTTCAGCTTCCAGCACTGATAAATTTGTGTTGCTTTTAAGCCACTCACTCCATGGTACTTTGCTATAGCAGTCGAACCTTACAAGACATCAGCTTCTTTCTTCTAAGTTCAGTCTATACCCTCCTTTCAAATCCAACCTCTCTTCTACACACTTTTCAGTCATTTTTCAAATGCTTAAAATGATCACCTCTTAGCCAACTAGCAATGACCCACCTTTCTTGCCTTCAAGTTTACTTCCTCCCAAAACCCTTACTTTAGATGACTTGCCTACTTACTTAGGGGATGTGCTACCTTTACCTATGGAAACACTAGGCAGTGATTGTGTTTGAAGTCCTCCATCAAGGACTGGAACCATCGCTAGAGCATGCAGAGAGGGTGACCAAAAAGTTTGTTCAGATTTTTCCATAACATCTTGAAAAACCCAAGATAACATTTTGGCCAATCAGCATGGAGAAAGGATGCAGAGAAATACAAAAGGGTTACTGTTACTCTGCTGTTCAACAGAGATGCTTCAAGGTTGCAAGCATGAGAGACAGTGGATACAAAGTGGATCAGACCTTGAGCCAATACATTGTAACCCCTTTCTTTGCTTATGGTTATGCCCATGGATACCAGATCCTAGAGGTAAAATAGATGCAACTCATTTTAAGAAAATTGGGAAAATTTGAATCTATCTATTCATGGGGTGCCCATATGTGCAAACCACTAAACAAATATTTAATGAGTTCCTATTATCTTAAGGCACTTTGCCTGTTTTTGGGAATACAGAAAACAGGAAGTCCTTGCCCTCAGGGAACTTTCTATTTAGTGAGATGCAGTTAAACAACAAGAACAGCAACACAGAGCGATTAGTGCAGGTGAAGGAGCAAGAGTACCACCTACACAGGAGCACCAAGGTCTCACAAACCCAATCAGGATCCAGTCGGGATGGAGAACTAGAGGCATCGGAAAAGGGCCCACACAAGAGGCCAGGTGAGCACCAGAAGGGAGGGCAAATACTAGGCAGGGTAATTCAGGGCAGGGGTCGGGGGGGTGCTACATAGCACTGACACGATCACCTTACAATCCTCCTGGGAGAACAACCTAAGTCAGAGGTGGAAATGATTTAGGATGGGGCTGGCTTTCCAATCAGAGTTCTGAGCAGCCTGGTTCATCAGGAGATCAGAAAAGAGAAAGTTCCCCCACGGAAGGCATGAAGACTGGGGGTAGAAAAGGGGACCTGAGGGGCTTCCCTGCTGGCCCACTGACGAAGAATCTGCCTGCTAGTGCAGGAGACACTGGTTCAATCTCTGATCCAGGAAGATCCCACAGGACGTGGAGCAACTAAGCCCATGTGCCACAACTACAGAGCCTGGGAGCTGCAACAAGAGAAGCCATCACAATGAGAAGCCTGTGCACCACGACTAGAGAAAAGTCCACATAGCAACGAAGACCCAGCCAGCCAAAAATGAAATAATAAATAACATTTTAAGAAAGAAAAGGGGATCTGAGCTAATCAGCCACAGAACAATGGGTACATGCGGTGGGAGGTACTGCTGCCGAGGCCATGACCTGAACAGGGTCATAAATGGGTGGAGAAGAGGGCATCTTCGAGGCAAAGTAGAACAGAAATCTACAGACAGCAGACCAAGGGGAAAGGCTGTTCAGGGATTACTTAGCTTCAGAGTCAAGTAACTCCTAGCCTATTAGAATAACTGAGACACGTATACACACCTCTAGAGAAATCTGATAAATCAGAGTGCATGGTAATGTGGAAACAGTCCTTAACTAGCAATCAGGAGACCTTTCTGGTCTTCCTTGAGCCTCTGTCAAATGAGGGTGCATAAGGACAGTGTCCATAAATGAGAAGGTAAATTAACTTAGTCCTTCCCAGCCTGCATTTTTTCTTCTTCTTAAAAACAGAAAAAGAAAACAGAATACAGTCTACATGTGCAGTGCTCACAGGCAAAACTACTGCTTTGCGAGACATTTGCTTCAGATATGTAGACACCGATGTGTATGTGTGCTTGATGTATATGTAAAACATAAAATATGTTCCTTCTTGTGGGGTCACAATCAAAAAAGTTTGAAAAGCACAAGGTGTCTAAGGTTTCTTTAAATCCTAAGATTGTCATTTAGCCTTTAAGTTCTAACCTATTTAACAGGTGAGTAAATCAACCTTGATGTGAGTTCTGGCATGAAACTAAATCAGTTCTGAGCAAAGGTGATCTATGTGCTCAGCTATGTGCTGTGTGTCTGTGTGTGCTAAATTACTTCAGTTGTGTTCGATTCTTTAGGACCCTATGGACCATAGCCCACCTGGCTCCTCTGTCCATGGGATTCTCCAGGCAAGAACACTGGAGTAGGTTACCATGCCCTCCTCCAGAGGATGTTCCTGACACAGGGATTGAACCTACATCTCTTATGTCTCCTGCACTGGCAGGCAGGTTCTTTACCACTAGCACCACCCCATCACACAAAACTTAACCTTCAAAACTTAACCTTACCCAAAGCCATGCCCATAATTAAATTACATATGACACACGTCTCTGGGAAATAATTATGTCTCATGTATGTTGTAACACAGACACACCTGCATATTCAGGGCAAAGGATTTGCCTCACGTCTGAAAAAAGATTTCATTCTAATCTAGACACTTACATATAGGAACAGTGTTCTACAGAAATTTCACCAAATAACCTACTCAAAGTGGGATTATGTTTCACTTTAAGATCTACTGCCAACCCTTAATTTTAATACCTTGACCAACAGCAGCTACTAGCAATCGATCATGTGTGACAAACATGTATGTGAAACTCTTTATTGAAACAGGTGACTTTTTTAACTACTTGTAGATTCTGACTCAGGGGCTTCCCTGGTGGCTCAGCAGTAAAGAATCCACCTGTCAATGCAGGAGACAAAGACGTAATCCCTGGATCAGGAAGATCCCCTGGAGAAGAACCCACTCTAGTATTCTTGCCTGGAGACTCCCATGGAGAGAGGTGCCTGGTGGGCTACAGTCCATGGAGGTCTCAAGAATTGTACAACCTCAGCCTAAACCACTTTCAAAAAGCTTCATCCAAATGAAGTCCTTCAAGACTTCAGGAGAAGAATGTGAATAAGTATTTCCTGATGGATAGGCCATTTTCCCAGAAAGGCAGAGAATAATTTATGAACATATGCATGAACAGGAATGAGGACAAAAATCACTAATGTTGGCAGCCTGCAAGTGCCAGGCAAATACATTTTAGATAAAGACTACACCTGTCAGTAGAGTAACAGTGCCAATTATACCTATTCTGGGGGCTCTTTCATCTGAAGCAATCTGATGTCAGAGAAGACATGACCTCAGGTGTTTTCACCATCCTGCTACCAGGTGGCTGGGGTGAAGCCACAGACACCCAGACTGGAGCACAAACAGGTGGACGTGACTTGCCCACTTAGCAGACTTGTGGGTGACTAGAGACTAAAATTCAAGTTTGGTTTGCTGGTCTTACCCTGTCAAGCCCCAAAACCAAGCCCCTAGTTTGCGCCTTGCACATAAAAGACTCCCTACTGAGGGACACTTCCTACTACTGAGGACACTTCCTAGTCCTTCTGTGAATGCTAATTCAAGGTCAAGAGATTCCGCAAGCCCTTTAAGCACAAGATTTGAACTCGTCCAGGGTTTTTTTGGGGGGGGGGGTTGTTGTTGTTTGTTTGTTTGTTTTAACTAAGTTTCTGATAAAGATCCCAGGCCCACCACCACCAGCTAAACTTCCTGACCGCCGTGCCAGCTACTCAGCCCCAGAAGTCCAACTTCACACCACCCGATCTTCCACCTCCCTCCAAGGCAGCCCAGACGTGGCCCCGCTGAGCACTTTACAACCGGAACGTATTTTGGAAGCCGTCCCGCCGCGCCCCCTGACTTTACAAGGAAGGAAACAAGAGGTTTGAGCTCATGCGCCGGGCCCAAGGTCACTTCACCCTGAGGCCCTCCAGCCTCTGGCCGCCGATTCACACAAACTCAACGCGAACCAAGTTGTCTCTGCCCCGTATTTAAGCATGCCCACACTGCCACTTGTGGTGCCCAGAACCACAAGAGACCCAACTGGGGAGATCGGGGGAACCCAGGAGTGCCAAAGCAGGCAAAACCCTGCGAATCTGAACTCTCCAGGAACCAGAGGGCTGGCGGGGTTCTTGAAGGGGGTGAAAGAAAGCCAGGGATGGAAAAGAAAAGAGAAGCCACGACGGCCGCGGAGCGGGGTGTGTGTGTGCGTGGGGGGAGGAAATTTCTGCTCGCCTACAACCCCGAAGGAGGGTCCCTCTCCCCTCAGGCCGCCCCAGAGGCCCCCAGGGGATGCCAGCCCGGCCCCCTCGCAGCGGCCGGCCAGGCCTGGCGACCCTCGGCGGGCTCACCGGGTGCGCAGCGCCTGCCACGCGGCGTCGATGTCGGCGTAGAGGTTCTTCTCGGAGGGCTTGCCGGAGCTGACGCCGTAGCCGGAGTAGTCGTAGGAGAAGATGTTGCAGTTGATGCGCGAGCCCAGGCCGATGTAGAAGCTGCACATCTGGCCCAGGTCCACCGCGTTACCGTGCGAGAAAAGCAGCGTGTAGCGGCTGGAGGGCGCGCAGCGCACGAACATGCAGCCTAGCCGGTTGTCCCGGGCGGTGCGCGAGAAGAAGACCTCGACGGCGTCCAGCTCGCGCTGCGAGTACTGCCAGTCGGCGCGCTCGCTCAGGTGCAAGCTGCACGCGCCGGGCCCGGCGCCCCCCTCCTCGGGCTGCTGCTGCGGCGCCGGCTGGGCCGCGGCGGAGGCGGAGGAGGTGGAAGCGGCCGAGGCCGGAGCGGGTGCGCCGGGGCCGCGCTGCTCCGGCGCCAGCACCGTGTAGGTGGGCTCGGGCGGCAGGAAGGCCAGCTTGGCGGCGATGCGGCTCGGGCAGGGCGGGCAACAGAAGAGCCAGCACAGCTCGCCCAGCGAGAAGCCGTTCATCCTGGGGCCTGGTTCGGGCATCGGGGCGGCTGGAGCGCGCCGCCGCTGCCGCCGGCACGGCAGGCAGGCAGGCAGGCAGGCAGGCCGGCTGGGGAGCGAGGGCGGGCGGGCGCGCGGCGAGGAGCGGGCGAGCGGAGGGCGGCTGCGGCCCGCCCGCCCGGCGGCTGGAGGAGGGGGCGGGGAAGCGCAGGGCGGGAGGCGGGGCCGGCCCGGCGGGCGCGGCGCTGGGAGCCCTGGCGGGTCAGCGGCGGCCCCACGGGCCGGGAGAGGCGCGGGCGTCCGGGGCCCGCGCGCGGCACACAAAGCCGGTGGCGGCGGCCATGCCGGCTGGAGCGCACCGCCCCCACCCCTGCCCCCGCCCCCCGGCTCCCGCACGCCCGTCGCCGCCGCCGCCTCTTCCGGGTTACAGCGGGCCGGCGGCCCTGCCGGGACGCGGGCAGGGCCGGCGTCTGGGCGGGGCTGCCCCGCCGCCTACCCCGACTCCGCGCGCGGGGGCGCGGGCACCTGCTTTGGCCTGGGAAGCGCGTCCTCCTCCCCGGGACGCCCAGGCACCCGGAGCAGGGTCTGTATGCAGGGGCAAGTGGGCAGATCCCCAGAGGGGTTCCGGGAGGGGACGCGAGCACCTTTGCCCCCCTGGGAAGCAAGACCGGAGGCCGACGGGGCCTCTCCGGGAGCGCAGAGGCCCGAAGCAGCGGAGCGCTCCTGGTTAGGCATGGGGGCACGTGGGCCGATCGGGAGACGGTGGCGGGTGGGGACAATGGAAGGGGAGCAGGTATACTCCCGGATCGGACTCTTCCTCTCTTTCCCCTCTCCCTGGAATTCCCTTCCCCAAATCCAAGTTTTCTCATGCGTGGAGATTTTGGGGAATTTATTGAACAATTAACGAATGAAAGATACTTGAACCTGAAATTCTTGGCTCTTTGTGTCCATTGGTGCTGTCTGAACTGGCTCTTCCCAAAGTCTCAGGACCATCAGGGGAACTGGTGGTTTGGGATAGAGCGCCGATGGATCGCTGCATCTCCCTGTTACAGGAGGTTGTTTCTGCCTGTGTAGCTACAGTATTGAGCTTCCCTGGTGGCTCAGTGGTAAAGGATTCGCCTGCCAATGCAGGAGAACCAGGTTCGATCCCTGGGTGGGGAAGATACACTGGAGTAGGAAATGGTACCCCACTCCTGTATCCTTGCCTGGAGAATCTCATGGACAGAGGACCCTGGTGGGCCCCAGCCCATAGGCTCACAAAGAGTCAGACACAACTTACCAACCAAACTACAGTATTACTTTGCTAGGAGCATGACTGGGCCTTCAGTAAACCCCTGTGTCCATAATAGTCAGCTATTATGACAGGGCCACTCTGTATATTTAGTAATATACTAGGTTGCCACTGTCCTTTCTCATCCCAAGGGCAGTAGATTTTCTGGTGGTAACTAGGTGTCCTTTACAGCCCTAGTTCCTCTAGGCTTATTTCTGGAATCCAGGATTTTTAATCAGGAGAGATTTTACGATGATTTAAATCCATTGTAATCTTGGCACTCACCTTTAAGTGATATATTTTTTTTTTCCAAATATTACTCTCAGTGTCTTGAAACTGAGTAGCCTCTGGTGCCAAGTTCACAGAGCCTTCCGCCACTTCCTTTTTCCTCCTGATTTGGCAGCTGAATTCCCTTTCAGGAATTGACAGGAGATACCCTTCCTGATTGCCAGCAGGGCAGCCAGAGACAAGGAAATTGGCAGCATAACCACTCTGGGTCTCTTGTGTTAACTCACAGGTGTCCAGGAGAATTTAAACTTTCCTCTTGGCTTTTGTGGAAGGTGTTATTTTTGAGCACCCTCATCTAAATGAATTTGTCCATCTTGATTGCAGTAACCTTTCGGACCAGGTTTGAAAAGATTATTTGTTCACTAAAATAAGTTTTAAATGTTGTTGAAACTATCTGAAAAATTGGCTAAAGAAAACTTGGTTAGCAAAGCTTGTTCTGATTAAATATTTGAAGTCTATTTTAAAGTTATTCACACTTGGTGATCTTTCACCCAAAACCTTTTTTTTTTTTTCTTTCTTTCTTTCTTTCTTCTAATTTATTTGGCTAGCTGAAGCATGTGGTATTTACTGCCCCAACCAGGGATGGGACCCGCGCCCCCTGCATTGTAATCGTGGAATCTTAACCACTGGACCACCAGTTGTTGTCGCTCAGTCTTGTTCGGACTCTGCTACCCCAGGGAAGGCCCCAAAACCAAATTTTTATCTTCTGGAGGTTAGGTTTCCCTTTTTAAAAAGCTGTATAACTTGCTACTGAATACAAAAATACTGTTGGCATCCAGCATCTATTGATGTAATGTTTCGTATGCTCACAGTACCTAAGATGTTAGAACTTTTGTGTTGAATCTATAAAGAGAAGACAGTCCCTGCTTTCAGACACCTTACAATTTAACTAGAGTATTGGCAGAAGATTCAGAACACTTTTCCCTGTGAATTATTAAAAAAAAAAAAGAACAAAACCCCAAAAGCTAAGGAAATGGTTTTGAATCCTGATTCAGTGGTGATATTTCTGTGGGAAGGTAAGATGATTAGCCAAGTGTGTCACTCTCTAATCTTTTCAAGATGAGAATAGAATTTGGAGGATTTTCCTGGTGGTCCAGTGGTTAAGACTCTGTGCTTCCAATGCAGGGGTACAGGTTCAATCCTTGGTTGGGGAACTAAGATCCTACTTGCAGCCAAAAAGAAAAATATTTGTTTATATTCCTAAAGGTTTTGTGGAGCGAGCATCATGCAGTGTAATAACAATAAATACATAAATAAATAAAAGCCTGGTTTTTATTTTCATTCTCTTAGAAGATTACACAGAGGTGGATTCAAAGAGTATTTATTTCCCTGGACAGTATGTTGGTTCAGGTTTGTGGGAATATTAAATTGAGACCCTCTTTTAAATGAGTTTGCCCATACTGATTCCAGTAACCTTTTGGACCTGGCTTCAAAAGACTGTCTTCACAAAAGTGATTTTAGATGTTTTTGAGCTATCCAAAAAGTTAGCTAAAGAAAATCTGGTTGATGAAGACTGTTCAGACTATGTATTTGAAGTCTATTTTTAAGTTGTTCACACTTGAAGTTTTACCCCAAACCAAAGTTTTTGTGTATGCTGTAGAATAGAGTTCCCCAAACTCTCTCACCTCATGCCTCTTCTAGTCATAGTCAAACTTATGGAGCCCCTCAACACAATGCCCCTCCCCAGGAGGGAGAGTTTAATATCTCTGCCACACCTCTCACACCCACGACAAAGGTAGCAGCCTGCCTTGGCATACTGGTTGCAAAACTTCAACATGCAGCCCAGGAAGAATAAATTTGCCCTATATATTTGCAAATCTATTTTCAAAGGTCAGGGATTACTAACTGATCACTTTGATCTTAAAGAATGTCTGTTTGAAAAAAAAAAGAATGTCTGTTTGGCTCTTCCTGCATTTTAGTAGAGAAAGGTAAAACTTTGAGTCTGGGTCAGCAGACATATTTACTAAGTACTTACCATGAGTTGGTCACTGAGTCAATCTGTGGAATGCAGAGGTGGCTAAGACAGCTCCTTCTGCCCTCAACAAGCTCATTGAACGATTTACTACACAGAATAACTATGAATCCTGCTAAGCCATTCTGGGTCAGTAAACTGAACAGGGTTCCAAGTAGTTAAATGCACTGGTCTCTACTATTTAATATTGGCTTTTTGCACATTGAATTTTTCTTCCAGATCAGTCTGCCTGATTCTGAGTTGCTCAAGATCACCCCACTTGTGTCAGCACTTTTCACTGACCATCAGAGGATATTTATGCTTCAAAACAATATGGTTGTTTCAGTGGAAGGTAAAGAGAGATCAAAAATACATTGACCCCTGGGAATTCCCTGGTGGTCCAGTAGTTAGGATTTGACACTTTCACTGCAGGGCCCAGGTTCAATCCCTGGTCAGGGAACTAAGATCCCACAAGCTGAGCCACATGACCAAATTAGAGGCGGGGGTAGGGAACATATATATATATATAGAGAGAGAGAGAGAGCCCTGTTTTATTTTATTTTTTTCTTTAAATTTAGGACTGTGAAGGCTAGGATGATGTCTCTTTTGGTCACTGTTTCCTCTATGCCTCGTTTAAAGAAGATGCTCAGTAAATTTTAATTAAATTGATCAATTAAATAATGAGTGAGTCATTTAGTGAATGCATCAAGAGACCAAGGTTATTCCTCCTCTTTCAGACAGTATTGTCAGAGTACAGGCTTTGAGAAAGACAAAAAGAAGCCCAAGTCCATGCCAGCATCCCCCTAGGAATAGACTACACATGTCTGCTGGCTAAGGAATTGTGGCATTCTCCCCATCTTTCTTACTATTGATAACAGAGATCGGGTTAGTTCTGGGCAACAATGCTCCCAATTAAGACACATAGTCACCTGGCCTCCCCTGCTGTGAAGGTGGCCACAGGACACAGTTCTGGCCTATAGTCTCTAAGTGAAGTGTTTTTCGGAGCTTCTAGAAAGACTTAACAGAGCCAAACTTATCTGGCATGTTTCTCTTTTCCTGTCCCTTAATTCCCACTTGGGTTGCAGGCATTATTATTACTAGAGCTATGAGAGCCGCCTTGCCACAATGAGAGTGAATTTCATAGTTGAAGATGGTGGAGAAGAAAGAGAAAAGTCTAGGCCCCTCATGACATTGCTGAACAACTGCCCAGCTTTGCCTTCACCTGGGCTTTTTACTTTGTTTTTAAGTCTTTATTGAATTTGTTACAATATTGCTTCTCTTTTGTATTTTGGGTTTTTGGCCACAAGGCATATGGGATCTTAGTTCCCCAACCAGGGGCTAAACCTGCGCCTCCTGCTTTGGAAGGCTGAAGTCTTAACCGCTGGACCACCAGGGAAGTCCCTGCGCTTCTTGTTCTATGAGAACAATAAGTCACTTTATGTAACTGTTAATAGTTGAGTATTTTGTTACCTGTAGCCTAATGCAATAATTAGGAATCTGATTCAGGAAACA